TGAAAACCGCATCGAAGCCGTTGTGTAGTAAAAAATCTCAACGTGCAGACAACGTGAAAGAACTTTGGGTTATATATATACTATATATTAGTACTAGATACCTCATGATTTCCTCTGTTCTTCCTTTATATTCTAGAGCTAATGGAGACACTCTCACAGAAAAAGAATTTTATACACGTCGAGAAGTAATTCATAACGTAGTATTTCCAAAAGTGAAGGCTTACGTGTTGGTCAGCGAAGGTGCTTCTTTGGATGACCCTTTTAATAGAGAGTTGGCAATACGAGAGAGGGCCAATAGAGTAGGCATTCTGCAGGTAGATATTCGTTCCAAAAACCCTATCTGTTTTATTTTATTTCAAAGTTCAAACCATTATCCGGCTAAAATAAGTAAACACTTCTCAATTTAACATTTCCTCTTCTCTTATTGTTAATTTCCTATAAGCGGCCAATGGTTTAAACCAAGTATTAACTTAAGTCCTCGTTTTATTATAAGACGTTGTGATAAGGAAAAATGCTGTTACATCACGATACGTTCAATCAAATACAATAACTTTTATATATAATAAAGATCTTATTTTATTATACCTTTATACTATGATGGGGCTGTTTTCGACGCTGCGTACGATGCCGCATTTTTATAGAATAACAAAGTACTACGTTTTAAATTTATTAAGTTTAAAACGTAGTACTTTAAGTTCAGCCAGTTGCACAAATGTCCATTACAATTTTCATTACTTTAAAGCGACATTACCCATACAAATTTGTCATTCATTAGAGCTTAAAGACGTCATTAAAACTTAATGGACGTTTGTGCAACTGACCTTAAATTAATCATTATCCGACTAAATCCGTAACAGAATGGTTCTCACGTCTGTATTAAGATGTCGCCATCTCTAAGGTTTTGTATTATGTATTCTGAGATTTCCGCTTTTCTATATTGTCTCGGGTATTGGTGTTGTGGTACCTTCGTAGTCTCAGATATTTTTAGCTACTCATCTTGGAATCTGAATAATGTTTATGATGTTGTTTATATTACTATACCCACTGCTGAGGCACCAGCCTTCCATGTCATAGAATCATATAGAGATGCAAACCCAAATCCTAAGATACCGAGATTCGTGAATATTTGTAGGTATTATTTACCGACCAACCAACAGCCTAATGTGTTTCAGCAGACGAGCTCGAGATAACAAATTTTTGGTAAACTATTTAATGATCTGCTTAACTTTCATAGCAGCAGACCGAACTCGTTACCAATTATACTCGCTAACAATTTAATTAATAAAATTACTATCAGCCAGTTGCACAATTATCCATTAAAATTTTCATTAGTTTAAAGTAACATTAGCCATACAAATTTGATATTCATTAGAACTTAAAGGCGTCATTAAACCTTAATGGATGTTTGTGCAACCAACCATGTATTTGAAAAATTTTACATTCACAATGCTTTACTGAAAAATATTTTAATGAACGATGCTTAAAGAGTGATTGATAATAATTAGAACAAATTTTCATCTTTATAGAAACTTCAAATATTTGTTAAAAAAAAACGCTCTTTAATAGCAAAAAATTAGCAAGTGTTTGAAGAATTCGTAAGTCTGTTTAGGTCCTGGATAGTTCAGTGGTTAGAGCAGTCACCCGGATTGCGTAAAGTCATGGGTGCGAAGCCCATCTCGGAGTGTCAGGGACAATTGGAGTTTTTAAGCATTATTCACTATATTCACAGTCGATATTGTTCGTGCGACACTTTACGAAGGGTGGGTTTGAAATTTCCGGATATATTGACTATGCTCATCGACTGGTTTCTGAAAACTGGACACCGTTTTTCAAGTCCAACAAAATGCTATGGCCCAGAGACACAGACCTGGGTTACTATCACTGGCGACATGGCACTGTCCGGAGCAACATGAGCAGAAATTATAAGGTAAAACAATAAATTAATACCGCGACAAATTCGGTATGTGGCCATTTGGCTTATGCTTCAATATCATCTCAGAATTTTTGGTGTGATTGAAGTTTTGATTTGAAGATTTTATGTTTTTGATCAAGTATATGGACCATATTGCAAAATTATTGGTAGATTAGTTCAAGACAAAAAAAAATCATGCCACACATACAAAAACAAACACGCAATTTGCGTCTTGCTGTAAGTATGTATGTGTTATATGCAATTAGATAATGAAAATCCGTATTTGGCATTAAGACATGTTAAAAATTTTCCAAATAAACGTTCAATCACTTCATTCAATGTGCAAAGTCAAAATAATCTTTATTCAAATAGAATTCTTAAAAATACTTTTGAATCGTCCAACATTTTTTCCCTACCGCTCGTTCAGGACGTCTTTTGGCTGATAAGAAGAACGAGCAAGAAACTCACCAACTCTAATAAGAGTAATGACATTTACAAAAACCATGCCTTTACCAGATCAATACATTATAAATAAAGAGAGAGAAAAAAAGAAACTATGGTCTTATAATGATAAAATAATCATTTAAATTGCAAATACCTATAACTAACTTACTTCTTCATCTTCTGCTACAAAATTATTACTGTACTCGATCGCGATATGAAAGTTATGAATTTAAAATAAAAACCAACATCTCATTCGCTCCGTGGAGAATGGAAATTATTCGAAACAATTTCTCGAACGGAAGTTTCGAATCTCGAATAGTTTTCAATATCGCTAGTGTTACTATGTCAAGTTAATTTGCGGATATCTCAGGAATTTTACTTCATAATTTATATACGAGAGATACGGCAGCGAAGCTGATTCAATACACAGACTATTTCACTAATAAAAAACTTATACCGCAAAAGATTTGTCGTATAAAAATTGATAAAATCTGTTGCCGTTACTATAAATCAGTTACTGGAATATTTTCAAAACTTTGCATTTTGAACGTAGCGTCCCTGGATGTTGATTAAACGTTTTAGTGATAACCTACCTATAATAAGTTTTTTAGTATTGTTCTCAATGAAGTTCTTTAATAAAACGTTAAACACTTAAACGAGACTATGGAATCTAATCACCATAACACCACGCCAGCCTAGCGCGGATTGATAAGTATTAAAGACTACAGATCGAACCAAAACCAACTTCTTAACGTGACTTCCAAAACTCGACAAAGTAAATTTTTCTTCAACCATTTGTGAAAGTTACATAACTTCCGATACACATATCACAGTGAGCTCTTCGATACTAAACCGTAGGAAGCCAATTCTACACTGTTCAAAACCTTTCTTAAATATTGTTAAAAAAAATAATGTTATATTTTGCAGCCTATAATGGATCCAGAAAAAGGTTTATTGTTCCAAAATCGCCACGACCATAAAATCATTTGTCCCGATCCCGATCAAGATCCTGGACAAAATACCAGTAAGAAAAGGGTATACTCACCACGGTACACACAAATTGAAATATATGACCATGTTGTAAGACGTAAAAGCTGATTAGGGCATACTGCTAACTCTTCCTCTTCCGTGCCTCTTACTATTATTGGGTTAGTCCCTCCTCGTATTTCGGAGCCAAGTTGAACAACCTGGATTCTAAATTTACTCGTACCAGATCTTTGGCAATGTTTGTCTACCACGGGGTCAGTGTTTCTTTTTGTCTTCGGGATAGCCAGGCCAGTTTTTACAGCGTTGCATACTCCGAACCTTTCATTAAAATATAAAAGAAGAGATACGGCATACTCTTAATGGCATTGACCAAAAAATTCCAAGTATGAACGTTTACGTTATACGCAAGTACTTCGGAACACGCCGCACATGTGGATGCGCCTAATTTGTAATTTAAAAAAACAACAGGCTTTGTGATTCCCCTATTTATTTATTTTTCATCACAAGAATATGAAATTACATTTTATTATGACTTTATTATACTATATTCATTTTATATCGACTTTAAAACTTCAATCAACAATTTAATAATAATTGTATAAACAGAGAAAATGTGTTTTATTTAATAATTTAAAATATACTAAATATTAAAGATATTTAAAATATTGATTACTTACTAATAAATACTACATTTATTATACTTATAAAACAATATACCCAAGTATAAACATCTAATTTATCTACTAAATGCAATTTAAAAGAGAAAACACTTGTTTAAATAAAGTGCATTTGGTCTTATTTTATATTGATGTGCTTGTATTAGACATAAATAATTCACAAATTATGACATTCTTACAAGCCTGTATATTCATATAGGTGCGTCTCAGATTTACTGAGTCTCATGCGTGTTTTCACTAAACTAGGAGTCGCCCCAATTTTGCCGCCTAAATATTTAAGAATCGCCTAAGATGAAAATGCATTTCACTGATGACTAAGAACCACCTAAGGACATTAAGTAATATCTAAAGTTGTGATATGCGTTAGACGATACCTTGCGCTAGGCATTTGCGGAATATGAGAGCTCTCAAATGTGTCAAAAGAAAAAATTTGGAATTTAACTAAACTGCTTAGACGATTCGTAAGATTAGGCGTTTCATTGTTGTTGTTTTAGTGTCTTAGTGTTTTAGGTTAGTGAAAACGGAGATCAGACAAAATCAAAACAAACAATTACCTAAGGGTCTGTGTCCTCAAAGGCATACATAATTTGCCTAAGTATTCTATTTATTGACTTATTTTTACTTATTTGAACAATTTTTTTGTTCGAAACTGCAACAATTTCAGGAATCTCTTTCAGAGCAGTATTTATTCATTTTCAAATAAGCATACCTTTAGCTTAGATCTGAATATTATTCTGTATTTTTGTTTCATTAGCATGACTAGATGAATAGGTAACAATGAATGTATTATTGACTTATTCAGACAATTGCAAACATTTGGATTTTTCGTATCACCTTTTGTTCGAATTTGTTTTATTTATAAATAAGTTTGATCGGATAGTTTATAAAACACGAGATCCCTCATTAAAGTTCCTCTTACATCGTTAAACAACTCACAAATTAATAGATGTACAAGTAATACACACACTTCTTAAATTGTTGTATATTATCGTTCAGTCGGTCAATACCTAATTATTGATTTGTTCAATGATAATGGGAAGGATGATTTCTTCAAACTTGAGATTGCGATGCCAAACGAGTTTTCTTAGCTGATTCTCTTGATGCACTGTGAACTTCGGCAGTACGAAGAGTTATTCCAAATATGTCTTCATGATATCTGTTCTCATCCTGTAAAAGCCAATACGTTATCTCTTAATCGTTACACTGAATGCAGAAACATATGAAGCATTGCTACATGCTATGGTTTTAAATAAAATATCATTGCAATTTATTAAATTACTATTAGTTAATAATGAATATTGATGACAGTGCTTTGCGCGTTTGGTCTGCAATTGAACAACATTGATTACAATAGTTTCTCTATAGTTTGTTAAGCTTTTATTGATATCGGTTAAATCTAGAGTTGTCTGCCGATCACATTAAGATCCGCATGGATATGATTTTGCTTATTATTCTTTGTTCTTTTCCAAACGAAATTAAAAAATAAGTTAGAGGCAATAAAATAATAATCACCATCAACTCCAACATAAAATCATCAACAGCAGCGTCTGACATTTGAGCATGCTTTTTGATGATTAATTTTATTTTTTGTTGTACTTCTTCTGCCATTTTGCAATCACCACAAACGTATAAATGACCATCTTCATCGACTAACATTCGTGTTACTTGTTCACCTTCTTCTTCTAGAAGAGCTTGAACGTGTTTCTGATAAAATAAAATATTTTTATAATAAATAGGATATTTTTTAATTTTTATTTTGTTTATATTTTTTTATATATCGAGCTTACCTTGTCAACGCCTTTTTCTCTTGACAAAGCTAACATAACTTTACTGAGGACCCCTTCTTGCAAAAATTTTTCTTTTTCTTCTTTGTATAAATCCATACCTCTGTTTCTACATCCGAAAAATAACCAAACAGATCCTGGTTTATTTTTCCCGTCGCTAAGATTCTTGATCTGGTGGCTTCTGTGATGCCAAAATCCTCTAAATGGCGCAATACCAGAACCTGGCCCGACTAAAATTAGTGGTACTGATATATCTTTAGGAAGATGGAAGCTTGGTGCGCTGTAAAAGATAAATGTTATTGAAAGTAAAAGTATGCAAGTGTAATATTTTTTTTTAAACTTTCACAACGTACCGTCGTATGAATAGTAGAATTTGTTCACCTGGATTTGCATCTTTTAGGTATGTAGAACACACTCCGTAATGTGTTGGTCCTTGACCATCTGATTAACATAAAATGGAAAAAGAATACAAATTAAATTTTTAGAACAATAATTTTTGTTAAAGTATCAACATTAACTGATAATTAATCTCACCTTGTGTTTTATAAGTAACCACTGCTACTGTAATATGTATCCTGTTTTGATGTACTAATGGTGAAGAAGAGATTGAATAAAATCTTGGCTGCAGTGGCGGCAGCAAGGTTGCAATTAGTGATGCTTCAGGTTGGCATGAAGGGAACTGTTGGAAGATTTCAGCCAGATTGGGATACTCAAAATATCTCCAATCATTATATTTGTTGGAATCCTGAAATATATGATTAATAAGCATCAAACTGATCATGTCTTTATTATAAAATTATATTTACAGAATATGTACCGTTATGAGTTCGCTAATTTTGCTTGCTTCGTTTACATCACTGCATTTACTAGCAAGATATTTTAAAACTGTTGTTGACGGTGGGGTAGTTATATCCAAAAATCGTGTGAATAAATCCCTAACTGTAACTGATGGTAGACGCTCATGTTTTTCCCATGTCTTTCGAACACCTGTGGTAACAATAGAAAAAAGTTGTGCTTCAAATTATATCAGTATAACTTTTAGCTGTTCTAACTTCAAGATTTGTTTTCTTACCTGTAGCAGTGAGAGTCTCTTTCATGACTTCTAGTTGCACAGTTGCATCACATTTGTCTAATTTTAGTCTCTTCAACACAGCGTCAACAATTTCTTTTCTGTTACATGCCATCACACCTACGTGGTCTCCAGGATCGTATTTTATTTCGTGCTAATAACAAAATTTGTAATAGAATTAAAATTGTGATAAGCTTGAAGTTTTCTAGCAATATTATGTGAACTTACTTCAGGTTCCATATCCACAAATATAGTAGCTCTATCGGCAGTATAATCACCCAGCATCTTATTTTCTTTCACAGTGCAGGGCACTAGTTGTTTTCTAAAACCAGCTTCAAGAGCACTTTTCAATGTAATACGAGCATGTGCTTTACTAAATCTAACAGTTTCTTCTGACAAAGGGAGTGTCCCTAATGCTTTCTTTGCATCTTTGACCATATCATTTTCATCTAAACAAAATGTGTCACATGCTACCTAAAATAGATTTAACATATTTTATAAATTACGTTTTAATAATTAAAATCCAAGCTATAACTGCCTTTGAAATTGAAACTTACATGAAAAATGTTAGATGACCAACTTCGAAACTGTTGCTCTTGTCCATACATCTCATCTCCACAAACAAGTTCTAAAAGTCGCTCTCCACCCAAATCTCCTAGTATTTTATCCACAGTTTTTCCAAAATTACAGAATTTTGGATAAGCACTAGACCCTAAAGCGAACACTGCGAAGCAAACATTACTAAGGGGACCCAGATGTTCTGTTGATGTTGAACCCGCAATGCTGCCTATAAAAACAAATAATCGTAATAAGTATTTATTACTGCCAGCAGTAAATTTTATTGTTATGGTTACAAACGATTTTATGGAGACAAAAAGGACACATAACATAACGCTAAATAATAGAGATGTCAGGTGTCGCTTACGGTATGGAAATTAATATCTATCACTACGTAATATTGTACCAATTATAAAACCACAATATTATAAGAAAACAAAGAACCAAATTTAAATTCTATATTAGCATTTATAACAGAAGTTGTTCTTTATTTTGTGTCTTAATGAAGGGAAGCTTAAGATGCGAAATTGTATTCTATGTGAGGTGAGTATCATTTTAATCATAAGGATATTAATATACTATTTTGAGTTTTCTTACTTTTATTTGACTCCAATCTAGTCAATTGTCTTTTGTATTCAATACTTGGCGTCATTACGCTGTTCGTTCTCATTAAGGATTTTGGTGTAGGAACTTTCATATTCCTGAAAAACGGCCAATTCATTATTCAAAAATAACCGAGTTCCAAGGACATCATTGAAAATACTATTTTGTCAAACTTACCCTGAATTAATATCTCCAGTTTGATCGCCGCGATGTTTTGCTTCATTGAAAAACATATTGTAAAGATGTTCAATGAAGTCCTAAAATTAAATGCATGTTTAATTAAATAATACATTCTAAAGGTTATTTAGAACGGGTTAGAATATATTGACATGTCAGTGTAAACCACTGAGCCCGCAAAAGATACGAAACGTCTACAAAAAATTCACTTGCCTAAATCCGTTATTTTATTAGACAATAAAAAAGTAAAAAATAATACTTATCTTAAAAGCGGTTAAATTTTTAAAAAACTTTGAAGTCGGGTTGAGGTTTTCTATAGTTAAATAAATATTAACCGCCCGACAATTTTTTTTTTCACCGATAAGTATTATTTTTCACTTTTTAAATTTTAAGCCGGTCTTTTATTTTATTATAGGTCGATCCGTCATGCGTTTTAGTGATATTTTGATTATGGGCTAACAAACATCAAGCATACTTAATGCAAATTTAAGACTTATATGAACTTAAAACTTATAATCTATGAGAAAATAGATGCCAGACCTGGGCTAAAATGAGACTATACGGCAAGTACTAGCTTTCAAATAAAGAAAGAATCATGAAAATCAATCCACCCTGTAAAAAGTTATGAGGTAACAAACAGAAAAAAAATACAGTCGAATTGAAAACCTCCTCCTTTTTTTTGAACTCGGTTAACAATTAAAGTTGTTTTTATTAATTGTACAATCTATTACTCACTATTCCATTAGCTGGCGCTTCTCCATTTCCAAATGTTGAGGTAACTATCAATAATAAAGTTTCATGTTCTATTGAAAACATATCGTAATCTGCCATACAGTGGACCTGTATAAAAAGGTAAAAGAAAATCTGACAGACCAGTACGAAAACATTTTATTCTCTCAGTTTCAATTTTGATAATATCAAGTCTAAAATTAATAATTTTTACCATAACCCTGTGCCATATTTCATTGAAATCGTAGTTATTATCAATAGCCTGCACAAAACCTTTCAATAAAATAGAAGAAAAAGAACACGTGAACCACGTTTCAAGATGGATATAATTTTTTCGCTTTTGTATAGTCGGGTTAATTTTCTTTAATTAATTTTAAAACCCAATCAACCACGGCCATAGACAAGAACATAGTAATATTGCGTCTAATGTTTAAATCATATCACTTAATAAAAAAAAAAACTATTAATTGATGCTATGTATGGATTGCGATAAAGTATAAAAATGTTACTTTCTATACTAAGAATAGGTACGGTACAACCTTTATATTATTGTTTATCAAAGACCCTAACTAATATATGAAAGCCAAGTTATTTTTAAACATTAGCTTATATAGAAAATATTTTATATTAATTACGGACTCTAGAGTTAATAGAAGCGTTAGTTTTGTGCGTAGCCAACGAATTGTGATTTTTATTGAATGGCTTAATGGTTTAACGCTTGATAGAGTTTTGATGTTAAATCAGATTTGCTAACCTACCTGTACGTTGAAGGCGTGTCCAAAAATGGTACCTAGCTCTTTCGCATACTGTTCAGATTTGCCCGTCTCCGTTGCATAGAGTATAGTAGCTTTTATTCGCTTGGAGAGAGCTCTGCCGTATAGCTTCGATGTGAACCTGATTGCGCGAGCAATCTGAATAAAGCGCTTCTTTCCAGTCTTATTCTTTATAGCAGGCTTATCAGACCATTGATGTGACTTCCATGCAGGTTCCTTTAATCATAAACAAAAAAATGATTCGCAAACTCAAACAAACAAAAGTTTGTGTTTCTTAACTCTTAAATTCAGTATGAGGTAGATATACACCACTGTACGATTTCAGTAAACTTCTCCGTAATCCTTATTAAAAAAAAAATTCATGCATTATAATGGTTAAAATAATTATACTTACTTGATAATCATATGAAGGTTTGATATAATATAAAGCCATTTCTTGATGAAACACCGAAGTCAATGATCCTGACATAGGAGGTACAATCCAAACCCAGTCAGCTGGGCAACCTCCCCTGCAACAAGGGTGTTATTTTAAAACGTTGTTTATTTTAACTTATTGTGCTAAGAATATAAACCATTATATAAACAGTATTTTTTATGTGATGGTCCATAAATAAATATACATATTGCATTATTAAACGGTTTTATTTTTAGATGTCTAGAATTATAAATGAATTTAAGATTGTTAAATTGTAACAGTAAGATAAAAAAATTGTTTAAAGTTTTTGTTAGTAAGTTTATATTCGGGACCAGCTTTAATTATCACATAAAATAAGACAACTACCATTTTGTAGTTTCAAACGACACGTGATGAATAAAGTATGTTACAGGGTCCCAAATTTAATGAAGATATATTTGAACATAGGTAACATTAGTTTAATTCCTTAAACTCGTGATACCTAATTGAATGATTAACATTAGAATAAATTATACTATATAGTATAATCTAGGCGCAAACTAGTCTGTAAAAAGTAACTGGATGTATGTTCTGGGTCATTTGTTAAGGAAAATAAGTCACTAATAAGAAATATATCTATTAATTAAAATTGATGATGTTAATAAATAAAATACTTATACCAATATAAAAACTAAGCTTCACTGAAAAATCAGCTTATCTGTTTTAGAGGCACGGCGATAAGTTTAGAAGAAGCCCATTTGGCATTTAGCCCAATTTGAAATGGACCCTAGACCGCAGAAATACATTAAAACATTATCTTCGGACAAGCCAGCTCTCTGAAGACAAAAACTGAAGTTTTTTTTTTCATCAGTACATTACTTTATGATGTATTGTTTCGGTCTCATTCAAGATGGGTGGGTATTGACATGCAAATTATAGTAAATTGACAATTATTTACTATAATTTGCATGTAACAGCGAATTGACTGCTATAAAACTTCTTATAGATCATGTAGTATTTTTAATGCTACATGATGTAGCCTTAAAATACTTACCAAACAGCAATATTTGAAAATATGATATGGCCAGGTGAAAGTGATATCTATAAATCTACGCTTCTCTAGTGTTCATAAATTTTTAGAAGTGGCTTCAACGACTTCCTTTTGTCGCGATATAAACGGCACCCGCACACAAAATGTACCTTTTTGAGGACAATAGCACCTTATAGTTTGCTAAATATTAAAAATATTAGAGGTTAGCTAGTATTGTGTCAGTTTTCGTCAAAGTATATTAAGCTTTTTTGTTCCGATAAGATTATTCAGTCGAATAAATCGATCGCACTGATTTTGCTGCAATATGATAAAGTGAGATATGAACGCTAATAATCGAAACTGTAAAAAACTGTTTCTGTTGTCTCGATTCTGGGTGTGGTGCTTTCGTTATTTTAGAATCTCCATTATACGAAGGGTTTAGCTACTTATTTTGAATTGTACTCATATAATGCTCTGTAAACTTTATTTAGTTATTAAACTCTCTATTTATATTTGATGGTTGATAAATAATACATACAAAAAGTTACGGTAATATTTAGATACATTGAAAACATTTAGTGTGCACATTGAAAACATCAAGATCTGAATGAATTCAAATGTACTGAACATTCAATACAGAATCTAATATCAACTAAATTAATGTAGGCTTGAAATCTGTGAATTTTCTTTTAAATCTCACATAGAAAAGGTTATAATACCTGCTCTTGTTTTCATTATCCAAGTGCTTTATGAACTGTTCGGAGGCGGAGTGATGGTCGACAATGGAGACGTTGTCCCGGTGGAAACTGTGCAGGACTGCAATATTCACCTCCACTAGTGCTTTGTCTCGCCACAGTGACACGTATGAGTTTGTGTCCAAGCCCATTTTTAAAGCGACGCTCTGTGGAAAACAAACAGAAAATATATGAAAGTATTCCTTTTGCGTTTACAGTTGTCCTAACACTCATGGACAAATAAAAACTTTGTGTTCTTTATGCGTCGTTATAATGAAATTTGACATTCATTCATGAATTCGTAATATAAGTTTTCCTTTTTGGTAAATAAAAACTTTTTACTCGTATTAAAAATTTATTTCAAATGTCTTTGAACATACACTGAAAGTTGATTAAGGTAAGTATACACACATGCGAGCATGAATGATTCATGCTACTTATTAATAGTAGGATGATGCATTTACTAGATTACCTCCTAATCAAAAAATAACGATAACACCAGCTTTGTTATTTATCAAAAAAATCAGTGCCGTATGCAACGTGGAACAAAGCGCTGTCACAGCATTAAAGGTTTAATCGAATCAAACATTTAAAAAAACTTAATACATATAAGTAAGTTTTATCAGATTTTCAACAGAAATATTTTAGTCTATTTCTTTAAGTATATATAAGTACCTCGATAATATTTCGCCGGTTCGAGTCGCTGAAATTACGGCAACCGATTTCAGTTCCCATATACCATCCGTTGAAAGCAGTACCAGTGAATTCTAGTCCTCCGCAGTCGAGCCTCATGTTAGAGACCGCTGGTAACGCGTACCATCTCAACCCCAAATCCTTGAACCAATCATAGCTGTAAAAAAAGTAATAATGATTATTTAAATAAGTCATCGAGAAACTCTTCCGAGTTCCGCGCAAGCTCCGCAGCAGTTCGCGTTTGGTCTGCGGTGCACAAGCTAAGCAACTTTCCCAAAGGCCGGTCATATGATGGGTGACCACAATTTATTACCTCGAGCTTCGCTATGCTTTGTAAAGTACAGTAAACCATTGGTTCCGGATGCATTGCATAAGTTCATACTCCCTTACCTGCTCTAGGCCTCCGTGGGTGGAACATGGCCCATTCTTCTTTTTCAATTCGATTCTATGAATAGAGAAAGTCTGTACATTAATAGTGTGATGATGAAATGAACCATCACCATCAGCTTAATAATTCCGCAATTGCTACATGCAAAAGCCTCTTGGTTAGTGCTTATGACTATATTCTGGATTTAACGGCTTAACATGCCTTTCGAAACAAGAAGGAGCTCATGATGATACATTGGTCACTTATCTGGCTTTTAACTAACTTCCACTAGTAGACCGAACGCTGCAATCATGGCACCATCGCGGTCTTCATTCGTTCATCATCATCAGCCCTGTTATGGATGGTTAAGAAGGAGGAATCCACGCTCGCCCATTCCGTATTAGATGGTATTAACGACCATAAATGCAGACTGGACCAAAGAGTTAAAGTGTCTTCCGAAGCACGGACTAGCTCGAGATAATAATTTTTTGGTCACCTATCTCGTGACTGACCCTTGCGAAAGTTGCTTAACAACAACGATCATGGGCCGCGGCACTTATCAGGCACACCAAACTACTTGGTCTTCATTGAATGAGTATTATTTAGTAGTACTCGTAAATCCATCACATGACAAAATTAATGATTTTCACTTTCTTTTCGTAGGCTAAGCACAAAACTTCTATTAAAAAAAAATTACTTGGGGTGCTCCATGTGCACTTCCATGACTATCTCAGCTGGTATCTCGAAGTACTGTGGATCTTTACCATCAGCCGATAGCACCAACGGTAGTATATCCCACGCGGTGTAGCGCGGTTTCCAGCCGAGTTTTATGCAAACCTGTAATAATCATAGAGGGCGATTCAATATCGAAAAAGAGACGCCAACACCCAATCACACAAACGATATTTAAAATTGTGATTTGTTTAAAACGGTTACAAGTAAAAATTTTCAAATTTAGAATATTCATAAGAGCTTTAAGTAGACATTAAGTCTCAATGAACCTTTGTGCAACCGTTTTGTTAAATAATTTTTAACCATCGATTTAAATAAATATTATACAATATTACTTAGACTCCAATAGCAAGTACGTCTTAATTTGAAAATCTGAAATAATGAAGAAATACACAACACCCAAGCACAAGACAATAGTTTCTTAAATATTGACCGGGAATTTCCCCAAAAATAACTAGTAGTTGTACAACACTTAAGTCATATTATAAAACTATAGTATGTACCATAAAACCCTTTACATATGCCACTAAACTTAATCTTAAAAAACTTATTGTGTTCCAGGAAGCGTATACCGTAGCTTATCCATTATTTATGGATCCATGAGGATGAAGGAAGGTGCTAACTTTATAGGTATAAATAATCTTGTTATATCTATCAAAGCATTTGCACTGGATAGTGGTTAAGGCTCAATTACTTGTGTAGTTAAATTATTTTATATAAATAAAAAAAGTAAAATCAGTATTAGAGGAACTTAACGTCGTATTTTTTATTGGGCATATTTTTAGATTCACGGTTGATTTCAACAATGTTCTAGAAATATAACATTGTTTTCTCCTTTCCAATTACATCTTGACATCTATAACAATCAAAACAAATTTTGGCTTAGGCACTATGTGTTTGTAAACTGAATGAAGTTACATAAATATTTACATCTGTGAATTCAACTCTAGCGGGATCACCAAGCACTGTTCCATCAGACTGTAGATATCCAGCATAACTTATGAGTTGTGCGTTCCATATTCTGTAATCTCTCTTATCCTTAGTGCGCTGTGGAAAAATGGTTATTGCTGATCTGAAAATCGAAAAAAAAACACATCAATATAACTACATAAGATTATTATATTTGATCAATTTTACATTAACAAGCTATAAATATAATTCAATAAAAAATGATAAAAATTCTACTTGCAAAGGTACATCCAAAGATGGGATTCGAACCCACAACTTTTCGCAATCCAGACGATTGCTAGATTGTAGAGTATTGAGCTACTCGAAACCCAACAGGACTGATGAATTTTGCAAGCACCTGGTACTTTTCGCCACTAATAAGCGTATTTTCATGATTATTCAGGCAATCCACCCAAACAGCCGAAAATAATATTTTACAATTAATTTAAACTTTCGATTAAAATGATAATTTGTTTTAATCATTAATATAGAATCAATCAATCTTGCATTCGCAATGCTAAACTGATAATATTTTTTTCGGCAGTTTGAGTGGATTGCCTGAACAACACATTGAATATAGGTACATAAGAATAGTTATTAGTTGTAAATATGTTACCTAATATTGCCTTTATTTGTGGCGTATTTTATGTGGTTGCATAGTGCCTCGAACATACCAGTGGGAGTAGTTACTTCTCTGCAATCGAATATCTAAAACAAAAAAAGTTTAATATAATGCTTTCTCGAGGAAGTGTTGCGGGTTCATAATTTATGAGAAAAAAATCTAGCAATTTAAAAATAAAAAAGAGATAGAGTTATTGGTTACGAGCAGTAATGTCAAATACGATTATTTTATCGACAGTACGCTCCCTATACCTTAAGTCTCCAGACCTTCTAACCCTTTTTTCTCTCTAACCTACTCCAATTTTAACCTTAATATTATTTTTATTAGATTTCGCTGTCTAATAAAATATGTATATATATATTTTTTAAAGTAATAAGTGTTCGGTGTAGCGTCTTACATCTCTTTAAAATAGATTTTGGTTTTGTAAAAACATTTTGGTTAACTTATTATGTATTAATCGCTTATGTATTTAGTTTTCTAGAACATTGCTTCCAATATAAAATTGTTACAGCAATTAGCTTGACACTGGCTCTTATACAGTTCAAACTACCATGGGAGATAGAGTACAAATAATATTGTATATAATGTTATTGGAAATAAAGTTATTACTAAGAAGAATATGTTTGGTAAAAAATATGCACACAATATTCTTTCTAAAGGATCTACTATGGCATCATGTTTTAAAGGTGGTTCCAACATTAACAATTGTGATGCACATGTACTAATGATATTCGTACAGTGAGTTTAATGTTCATTTAAATATAACTCATAAGAATATGCCTTTAAATCTAAATTGCCGAATTAGTTGCGAGCCACATGCGTCAAGGAAAGTGCTTAATGGCATCCCGTTTATATCTCGTTATAAAGTTGACAGTGCTTAAGGCTCTAATTAAAACTTCAACTGCGGCTTTTGCGGTTGAAAGAAACATAAACAAGTCGTGTGCGCAGATTTATGGAACCCAAGAGTTTTTTATATTTTAGTTCTGGACGATTTCCGACCTTATTAGATGTTTTATCGTTACTTTGTAGTATTAATCGGTTCTTTTTTAACAAGTTTTGAATTCTGCATCGGAATGTGACAAAGGTTGGAATTACATGAGTTTAGTTTGTGATCTTGTTGCAGTTTCTGACTGTACATATTGAGCAGAAACTATTCTTAAACAGGCTTTACTGATAAAACAGTTAGCACAAATAAACTTAAATATTACCAGAAACATTATTATACCACGCTTTGACTAAACAATATGAATGTAATTATTAAATTTTATAAATTTGCTATACTGATAAAGTATAAACAATATTTAAAAAATCGCATTCTATCTTAGGAGTATCTGGGGTTAGTGGTTTATAGGCATTTTTCATTATAAGTATGAGTGCATTTCATTATCATTATTTTGTCAGCTATAACATACGACACGTGTCTTCCCTATGGATGAATATGATGTTAATGACGACAGATACAGCCGGGACCTTTTAACTTCACGCACCTTTTTATTCACCCATCCTATAACCAGCCTCTGCGTTTGCTTAGCCTCCGTATCTTACTAAGTACTACGCCATCGAGCTTCTGCTACCGTATGGACGTCGTTGAACGAATTCACCTTTGGCCCAAATGTATAATAACTGGTTAATGTCTCAGGGCCGTGTTCAGAACTACGCGCGTGTTATATGCGTTTCATTATACATTACTTGTTGGTAAAGAATATCGTTACAATATTCTTTACCAACAAGTAATGTACAAAGTTTTATTTAATACTTTTGCAGCAATGAACCAAAAATAAGGATAAGGTCTAATAGTTTAGTAACCAACATCATCAGAGCAAGATGAAATTGAATTCGTTACACGTTTTTTTGTATTTAAATGCTAATATGATAAAACTCTACATAGGTACAAAAAAAGGATTTCTAAGTAAATAACCCAATTGTGTTCTCCAGGGTACCCAGCGATAATGAGGTCCCATCTTTTAGCGTCCTTGTTTGTTGGTCATAGGATTGAGTAAGCTGAGTTGAACACGCAAGTCATTTGGATTTGGACGTGGGTAGAGTTAGTTAGATCCATCTAAATTTATCTTCTTTATAAGCTTTCGTCGCTTGCGTTTATGTAGATTTGGAACAGTGTAAATGATGAAATATATTAAACTTTTAAGTTGTAGAGGAAAATAACCCAATATGAAATGTAATTCGTAATAAATACTAATGGGGTTATAATTGAAAATTGTCAGTAAGTCAAGCAAATTTGCGGTCGTTTAACGGGTTCACTTGACTTATTTAGAAGTGTGAAAAGATTTCTATAAAACATAATTTAGTAAGTAATTTCAGTATTTCATTTTAATGATACTATTCCTTATTTGTTTTTTAATATTTTTATTTATACATGAGATACATATATCTGAAAAAAAAATATCATTCATATAATAAGTTGAAATCTAAAAATAAATTTAATTTTCAAAGTTTCCCTCTAAAATGCCACTGCTGGCATGGCGTCGCTATGATGTCACGGCACTCTAGAACGAATACCTATCGTTCTAAGTACGTATAAGGTTGAATTCTCTAAGTTCTAATATGAGTAAGAAGTTCGTGACGCGCTGTTTGCGGTCACGTGACGACGAGTATAAAATATTAGTTTTTTCATAATTAGTTTAATAAATATAATAAGCATAAAAGTGTGATCAATAGTAACGGTGTATTAAATACTACCAGAAAAAAACGAATTTTTTTTTCGTTTACTGTCTACATCCGTATCATCGTTCGTTAGAAAATGACTTCTTTTTGTAATTTTACAATTTTGTCGTGACAAAATACTCCAAGATGATTCATCATATATTCTATCGTACATGTGTAGGTATCTTATTTTTTTTTATACTGGCAGTTAAGTCTATTTATTATTCGAACTAAAAACTAAATAAAAGAACAAAAAACAAAATAGCCTTATAAACGTTGATTAAAATTAAGACACTGCTTAACCATTCATTAACAAAAATGTTTATTTTATAAATTCTCATTAAAGTTAAAGCGCATCTTAGCAAGATCCTAAATAGTTGTCAAATCAAATAGTGTCGAACCCTTGTTTAAGCGTTTAATAAGTTATCAATTACCACGTGATTACCACAATGGCGGATTTTTGACAGCTGATTACCTAGCAGCCGTGTATGTATGTTATTTGTCGTCGATGATCATGTCGTAAGTTTTATTTCAACTTGTAAAACATATTGAATTATTTAAAAATGGATATCGCACGTTGAGAATGACAATGTCACTAACCAAAAACGACGTATTTTTTACTTTTGGCAACATTTTTCTTTGTTAAGTATAAACTTTAAAATGCAAAGATCCCTGTGAACGTAGCTTGCATAGAAACTGCTAGGTGGCGTAGTGACGATACGTTGTAGGGAGGGGCTGATTACAATTTCTTGAACTTTTAATGCTCATTACTCAAAATCGCATTTTTTGCATTGTGTCACTATCGTTCTCCACGTGCGATATGTTTGAAACTGATAATAATAATGAACGCGTACCAATATCCATAACACAAGCGTATGATAATGTTTAGTTTAGGATAGTTCAGTTTCGATGGGCTATGAAAATAGATTATAATTAGTTTTATATATGAACTATTTATTTCCCTTCGCCTGTGTAAATAATACCTTATATCACACGCGTATAATGTAGCATCCCGTACATAGGGAAATAATTTAAAAAATCTGCCCAGTAGTGTCGGTGCCTACTTAATGCAGGAAACAGACAATCTTTTTTTTTATAATATTAGTATATATAGCACTCCAGTTTCTTTGATACCTAAATTAATTTCTATATTTATTTAGTTTCCACTCACAGGGACAAAAATGAAAACATAGGGAGCATTAGACGGAGCTCCAATAATTTAAAAAGCATTACCAGATGAATATTTATTGGAATTTAGTCATACAAATACAATATAAGAATGTATATATATATATATATATGTGTGTGTGTGTGTGTTTTCAGAGACGGTTTCAGGTTATGAATTTTTGTAACAGCACATATATAACATATTAAGTGTTCTGATATGTCTCTTCAAGTTTTAGATGTACTTAAAAAATAACCGTGTATAATTTCAGTATAAAGAACATGTATAACGATGCGACCAGGTAAATTAGTAGAACTTACTTGTAACTTCTTCCATTGTATCCGCCCTATGCACCTGGTCGCATTACGCCACGCCAACTTTGCTCCGAACACCAGCTCTGAAGTTTTCAATTGATATGTCCCCGTCTCATTCAATTCCTGCTTGACTTTTTCTAATCTTGCACGATGAGATTCTGTATTCTCTCTGTGTAAAAAAAAAGATTCGATCATCACTCACTATTTATACCAACATCAAGGGTCGACAGTCTCTTTTATTCCAGCAATATTTTTGCGATATTGAGTCATACTACAATCGGAATCAATAAATTGCTTTTACTGATTCCAAATATGCTCATTACTCAAAAATAAGCTGAAATCAATTAGATTTTCAACTGTTGGTATTTTTTTAGTAATATGATCAATAGGCTACGTATAACGTGTATACCAATCAACAAGAAATCAATCAGTCAAAAGAATTCAAACGATCTAGAATCTAAGTTAAAGAGCTTTACGGAAATTCAAGATACCTAATTTTCTATAGAACTGGAAATTCAAAAATTGATTTCATCATCATGCCTGCAAAATAATGACAATTATAAATATACGATGCGGTTTTAAATATGATTTAGTTAATTTTCAAAATAATTATGTTGCGTAATTTAATTGCCACGAAATAAAAGGCTTTTATAGTTTTAATTATCAATGCGCTACACCTCTCTCATAATTCTGTTAACCCCCTGTGATAACTAAACGCATCGTGTTTGCGAGTACATCAGTGATAAAGCAAAACTAAAGCAAATGGTTTTATTTTTAATACCCGACTCATAGTAACTTTTAGAATAAGAAAAAAACAAAGTTCAGATACCCAGTATCTGAACCTGTTCTCGATTTTATGCGAAATAAGGGGCTACGCCCCTTCTTTTTTAATTCCTTATTAATGATCCATAGCCGGCTACGCTAATACTTATGTTTTATTTTTTCAATGAGAAATAAAAGCAACATTCTAGACAGGATTAACTCCATAGTTATTTCCTTGTCTAATTGACAATATATTTAACCTTATTGACTAGTTTAAAGTTTATTATGTTCACATAATAATAAATGAACACCATGTTTGAAACTTGATATACGAGAACATTTCGAATTACAAACTAAACTTAAATTATGTATTAGGGATATGAAATGACCCATCAATTTCATATCCCTTAAAATTATTTTCCAAGAAATGGTAGATACTATATTATTACTACACCCATAAATATACAGGAGGAGCTTGGAATGCAGTGGTTCAGTCTGCACTTGTGAAGGTAAAAAGCCATCTACCTATTCCATTCTAATACGAGATGGTACAGGAAGATGGAACATGGTACGCTGCATTTTTGACTAGTCCTCGAAACAAGCTCGGCAGTAGAAGAATCGCAGACAAGCCGGACGTGTAGTCTACGTCAGGAGACTGTATGGTGACACATTCTATCGACCATATAAAAAAAGGTTAAACACACTTTTACCAGAATCAGCTGGCTTACCCTATAATGCAATCTCAATATCAATTTCGATCCAATCCAATAACGATCTCAATTTCTATCAACTTTTATCTTAACAACTTTTAAGAGTACGCTTAACATATAGACTCATTACTTACTCTCATGGCAATTAGTTCCTTTAATAATCACTCAATATTGAGCAAATTGGCGTGATCGATCGAAATTGCAGTTATGACATTTTGTAATTAAACTTTTTTAATTAAATACAATTTCGATCGATCGCGATTGCGTTTAAGAGTAAGCATGCAAGTAATCGAATGGTTGTCAATTATTAATCTAACATAACGTATTCTTATATTTTCACGCGCACTATTATAAATGAAATAACTTTTAAACAGTTTCATCGCGTTTGTATTTAGTTTTATTGACGTTTCGGACCCTTTACAGGTTCCGTGTTCACATAAGAGTTAGGTGTTGACTGTCTTTTTAATTAAGAGTATAGTTACCTGCAAACCAATACTATTGGACAAATTCACAATACATTATTTTTTTACATTTTTATATTGTATTCTTAATCACATTTATTAAATTAAATTATTTTAAAAATACATTTTATTCAATTTTAAAATGAGTAATTACGTTGTATTTCCATACAATTAATACGACGCGTAATTTAGGTAGTGTAGGTATTTTTTCATAACTCCTTATTTATCGTGAACTTGAAGTAATCGATTAAAAGAAACGATGCGTAAATTAACCATGAAAAGAACTGCATTAAAAGTCAAAATCACCAAAAGTGTAGATAGATGGTCTTGGTTATTAAGCGTTGATATATTATTGAAGACCTGGCGAAACAAACTCTGCTAAGAAAGAATCAAGAGTCTGGATGAAGATTTTATTTGACTAATTACTGGATCCCAAGCTGGTGGTATATACTTTCATCTCTGTTAAAATTCGAATATTTTTTAACATTTCGTGCTCCTCCGTGCTTTGAAATAGCCGCAGGTCTCTGAAGTCCTTAACAACTATCAATCGCAACTGGGTCTTAGTGAATTATAGCTTATTTTAATTATTTTTAACTAATCTGTAAGAGCTCCTTATTGAAATCTTAGTCAAGATCCAAATGTTTTGCCTAAAGTTCTAACTTGATGAGCTTCTGCGTACTACTAATGAATGTCTTATTATTATCGGTTACCATATTCACTATAACCCAAACCAAATGTATCTTCCTGTACCTGTAAATAGAGGCAAAGTATTGCTCTAGAAACGATTCTGCATCTTTGTAAACCTCTTCTATTGCTCTTGGTGTGTCGCCTCTGTTCGGGATGTCCATAATACTTGACTGACATAATTTTTCTGTACATTTTGTATTCTGAAACAATAAAATACCACCAAATTAAAAACTTGTAGAAACAAAAAATTCTTTATTTTCAAAATATCGTATTTAGAGGAATAGATTATTGTTACATCGAATCTGTAGTATCTTTTGAGATTTTATTAGTAAAAACACGTGAAATTTTCTATGTCATAGAATAATAGATCCGTTATAGACCCTAAACAAGAACCTTATGAGAAAGCTTTTTTAACATTTTATTTTTATTTTTTAAGGCTTCTAAACATGCCAGTCATATCGTAGCCTAATCTTTCTGTTCAACTATAGCTTAGCTGCTGCAGATACAGGATTAATCAAAATCGTTAAGAATATTACAACATCACGACTTTTGAGCCTTAGTTGATGTATTAATAAATTTTCACTCTCTTTGAACATTCCGCTAAAAAATGTTGTATACATATTCGATTTAGTCACAAGCAATAAAAATTCTTGTCTTATATATCTCACAAAGAACTCGACAATGACATAATAATAAAATGTACACACCGGTCCTAGGTGCGAGTTGGAGTTTTACTTCTACGATTTCTAACATAGTCGAGAGAAGTAATTACTTTGGAAATTGTCATAACTTAATCAGATCTTTTAAAACCAATAGACGAGAATTTCATTAAAATTAAAATTGTTAATAACAAATAATAATAGTTCTTATACTTCATTCAAATTCTTGTTTGTTTAAAATATTTGTTTTAGTAATTATTTTTACTCAAGAAATTACTTTTACTTTTTATTTTTAATACGGGTGTTATAATCTAAGAAGGTTTTATTGTTGCTTTGTAACTGAAGACTTACATTGTGTGATGTATTTTGATTTTAAAATAACTTTTGAAACTGTATATAATCACATATTACTTGAGAAACTCTCGGATATTGGATGCACGCCACACCTTTTTACATTTGTTTTTATAATGATCGAATGAATTACAGAGACTAATGCTTCTGAATCAGAACTATATTAGCAAAACAAGATCCGGGATATGACAGTGGATCTTGTCGATTTGACAGAAATGAAATATGAATTGCTCTCTAAATGCAGATAATCTCAATTGTAACATGATACCAAGGATATAACAAATTGGTTTAAATTGGGTGGTGGAAAAAAGGCTAACGATTGTCTCTATCTATCTTATTAAGAGGATTATAAATATTAAACAACATCACATTGTTCACATTCCAAGATGAGTAGCTAAAGCTCCATTATTATGGAGTCTAGAGGATGGAGAGTCTGAGAAAAGGAAGGTATACATATGCGTTAGTACTAGACAGATCATTCGTTTAGTGTGAATCGTTGACTGATAGCTATACTAATATTATAAAGAGGAAAGATCTGATTACTTGTTTATTTGCATCGAATGGGTTCCGAAGCAACTCGAACATTACATACTTTGCTCAGATTCCAAGACGTCCAAGCTAAAGTCCCCGTATCATGGAGTATTCGAGACAATCACCCAGACCCGCGACAATATTGAAAAGATCATTTTCAACTTTGACCCGACCGGGGATCGGACCCAGACGGCAACACCGGCGAAACCGGCATGCAAACCACTCGGCTACGGATGTCGGCCAGATTAGATAAATATATTTATAGTAATGAGTTAGCCGCAGATCATTACGTTTTTTGCAAAAAATCGCAATGAAGGGCTCCGGCTGCAAAGTGACTAACATATTTATCAATTGTAAAAATAAGAGTAAAATTAAGAGAAGAAATAAAATAAAAATCGTGACATTCAGAAGTAAATTTGTAAAAATCTTTTTAACCCTTCCAGTGCCCTCACGTGTATGATGCATTAGTTTTATTCTTAATCACATATTGTTTAAATATATCAATAATTACACAAACCTATAATGACGAGGACTAGTGAATTCCCTGCTCTTGTTATTTTAGTGTAGATATCATTTTAATTAACATTAACAATAGCATAAAATTCATCTTCGGTATTAAAGGTCAATTCAAAATTAACCATTTTTGATCATAAATCAAGCTTTTTTAAAGAAGAAACTGCAAAAAGTTGCACACGTATATTATACGTAATCATAATTCAGACCTGTGACATAGTATGTGTATTAATAAATAATAAGATAGTTACATCATCCAATTAGAATAAGAAAATGATTCAGTCATACTTTAAGTACTGTTAAAAAAAAAACTGATAAAAAATGTTACAAATTTATGTTAACTGTTCGCTATTGACGTCCGGGTATTTGTTTTATGACTAGGAGAATTTTTTTATACGCTTTAATAATTGATTGTTGTACAAAGGACTAAAACGATTCATTGCGTACGAGATAGTTTTACAGAAACCGAGTTTAATGGGTCTTAGTCTGTTACATTCTACTTTCCATATCAATGGATAACATAAAACAATTTTTATTCGCTTTGGGGCTTTTTATAAAAGGGATTTTAATGAGAACTAAGGAAAATGGTGTAATGTTGACATTTCTCATTATTGTGGCGCCACCGTTAACCACGAGGTAATTCACACATTCCGTTGAATCATCAAAATCGCCAAAAGTGGTGTCGTCTCTTTTAGTTCCATTTAAAGATACAAAATGTTCTTAAACACAATATTAAATAAAAAAATCCGTTAGAGCACGAAACATCATTTTAGCTTTTAGCACGAAACATTAATGCAGACAAAAAAAAATGTGCAAATTTTTTATGTCTATAATAGCGTACCGAAGGTAGCAAAAAAAAAAGAAACTTTCTGTCTGTTAATTGAGCACCACGGCTTAAAACATTTGAATAACATTTTGTAGTTCACATACGTCTATTAGTGGTACGTATTTTCATACCGCTAGAAAACAATGTCATTGTAAGATCCTGCTCCATAGTAACAATGGATAATTCCACTATTATTAACTGAGAAATCATTCCAATCACTTCTATGTATTCCGTTTGCGCATAACTTTAATTATTATCACCACTGCCATTGCAAACCGCTTACTAAAATAGTACACACTAAATTAATAAGCAGTATCTGTTCTCTTGAATTAAACATTTCAATATGTCCTCTCTTTAAAAACTTTAAATTTATAAATAAATAGAATGAATTATTAATTTGAAGGTAGTCAAATTAAGTTTTAAAAAAATGTATGACAACAAAAACTTCCCACAGATTAACTTTTTGTATAACCAAATATTCTGTCTACTTTTGCAAATAAACTCAAAAATTGATAAGTTGTTGATGAAAATTCAAGGATGTGCTTTATTTAAAAAAATCATTAGTAAAAAATCCTTTTAAACTATATATTTTCTTTTTGTAGAATAATGTATTAAATATTGTTCGATTGGAAATTATAATGCCACGTCAATATTTTTCTGCAAAACGAAACCATTAAACAGTTACAACTTATTTCTAATTCCCGATCCAAACAAAAAGTTTTTATTGATGTTACTTCATCAATTCAAAGTTTATTTTTGTGGCGTTCCACTATTTATTTTTATACAAACAACTAATAACATTGCGTATTAACAAAAAGGAAGCAGAAAGCGTGTATGAAAAGGATTATAAGCGTTAAAGTAGCCGAAAAAGGCCTGATCAAAGAGAACTGTAAAAATAGAATCATCTGAATATTTGTTATTATAGCATTTTGTAAATATTTTCCCTCATATCTCAAACAATAAAGTCAAGCCAACTATAGCTAAGTCCATCATCTGAACAGTATAACTACTGCTGGATGGAGTCCTTCCCCAAATTCTCCAGTCCTATGCCAAGTTACTGCTTATATAATTGACTGTATAGAAACTAGTAATCAAGCTTGTGTAAATCAATGTGTCGTCTACAATAGATTGAGAAGTAGATGAAGATTAAGCGATCAACTCACGAGCTGGAACTATTCTGGAACTATAAATAGGGCATATACACGTTGTCACAATTAACTTGAATGATACAAGGTACTTATAACATTAGTATTAATTCGTCCCATATTGTGCTTGAAATTTCTTGCGACTAGATTTCCGAATCATGTTGTCAGTAGAATATTTTGCTGAGATAATATATATATGATATATATATTGAGCTATTTACCTCTATAATGGAGTTGCTAGATGAGATAGATTTAGTACAGCCTGCGATCTTATGAAAAATTATATTAGTTTTGAGAACATTTTATTTTAAACTTTAAAATAACATTGAAGCAACATAGTTTTAATATTTTTTACCTCCATACTAAAAAGCAAGGAATTGTTTAACAATTACATCAGAAAACTCACAGCTGTTTAGTTGAGAAATAACATGTCTTGGAAAAAAAGAACAACTTGATAGTTTATTATTATTTAATTAACCGATCATAAGAACGCCCGTATTAACTAATAACATGTTAACGACTTCAGATGCAGTCGACTAACGGCTTATCGTACCTTCCAAAGCACGAAGAAGCTCAAGATAATACATTTTTGGTCACCCATCCTATAACCGGCCTTTGCGGAAGTAACTTAACCTACGCAACTAACGGCTTATCGTACCTTCCAAAGCACGAAGAAGCTCAAGATAATCCATTTTTGGTCACCCATCCTATAACCGACCTTTGCGGAAGTAGCTTAACCTACGCATCGCAAACCGAACTCGCTAACCACTGCGTCGTGGTGCCCTCACCTTACAATTAATTGTGTGCTTATTAACAAAACCATTAACTTGTACTAACATCATATATTTGCGTATGACAGTACTTTGAACAGTGGCATGTAAACTAAATGTAGTTAATTGCGGTTGGATTACCGACCGTTGATTGTAAACACAAACCACAATTTAGTATTCGTATTGTTCCGGCCAATCCATTCAATGAATATATCAAATAATTATTTTATTATTATTTTATTAACTTTGATAAATATTGCATAATGTCATGCCTAAGCGACAATCGTTCAAAAACTAAATTTTCTTTTTTACTCGCTTTTGTTGGACCACAGATCTTGCATAGACAAAACAAACGAATACTACAAACTTTTAAATTACTTGGGTTTATTAGGGATCTTATCACTA